ATAGCACAAAAAGAAGTAAAACTATAAATATAAATATATATATATATATAGCTAAAGAATGAGAATATGATACATAAATATACACGCTTTGAAACTCCGCCTGGCGGCTGGGCGAGCATCTCTGCGAAAATGGACCGGGTGTTGGACAGAGGGATGCCATGCCTTCCGAGGATGCTCTGCAAGCGCCTTCAGAGGCAGATATCTCTCCAAGCCCTAACCTACCTTAAGAACCCAAAACCTACTTTTTTTGGTAGGGTCCCTATAAATCCCATATTAGGGTTTAGAATAAGAACCTACAAAAAATGGGTTTTGGGTTCTTAAGGTAAACCCTAATTTTTAGTCCCTAAACCCGGAACCCCTCAACCCTAATCCCTAAAGCCTGAACCCCTCAACCCTAATCCCTAAACCCTGAACCCCTCAACCCTTAGCCCTAAGGCTTCAGAAGCTTCTTGTAACTCGAGTCATACATCCCAGGCTGTCTTACGTGTATTTTTTGCTTAACACCGCCTCACGAGGCCCCTTGATCCTATGAGGTGTTACTTAATACACCCTAAACCCTAAGCTCTAAACCCTAAAATCCTAAACTCCAGACCCTGAAACCGTAAATTCCTAGACCTCAAACCCTTTTTAACCCTAAAGTTCTAAACCCTAGGTCTTCACCGTAGTTACGGCTTCTGTACATCCTCGGAAAGTCGAACCCCTAATTTTGGGACCCTTTTAATACTACCAAAGGCTACTCCGAAGCATAATCCCTAAACCGGCTAAGCCCTAAACCCTCGCCCTAAACCCTAAACCCCCCCAACCCCCTAAACCCTCTTAGCCCTAAAAGCCCCTTTGAGAGATCTACTGTTGGGATCCTCCCAAAAAAGCCCAAAGCAAGAGGGTCCAGTATGGAAGTAGGTCCCCCAAAAACATAATGAGGATGGTCTTTTGGGGCCTAATTCTATAATTGTAGTAGATGTGGACCTAAACCCTAAACCTTGAACCCTAAACCCCAAACCCTAAGCCCTAAACCCTAAACCCTGAACCCTAAGCCCTAAACCCAAAGCCCAAAAAAGCCAGAAAAGGGTCGCCGAGGCGCGAGGGGTTCAGAGAGTCCACGCCGGTGAACCTTGGTTCTCCTCCCCCACGAGATTTCTGTCGGGTCTTTAGAGTTCAGGGTTTAGGGTTTGGGGTTGAGGGTTTAAGGTGTAGAGTTCAGGGTTTAGAGTCTAGAGTCTAGGGCTTAGGGTTTGTGATTCTAGCGGTAATAGGGTTTTTAGCTTCGAGTTTGGAGTTTCAAAGGCGGTAGTGGGCTTTTGCTGAAAGAGGCAACCCTACAACAAAGGTACTACAATCCTAAACCCTAAACCCTCAACCCAAAATCCAAAAAAAAAACCGCGAAGTAAAAGGGCACTGCTAGGAGGCCTGGGCACAACGAGTGGACCAACTTTACGCGTGTCGAAGCCGATGGGAGCTGGATGTCTGCATCCTGGGTTGAGCAAGAAGAAACTTCAGTTGATTTGTTTACCACAACATGGTCAAGGGTTCAGGATTTAGGGTATATAAGCTTTAAGGTTTAGGGTGAAAGGGCTTAGAGCCTACGGTTTAGGGGGTGCGCAAAGATCCCATGCTTTCCGTATAACTACTGGGTGAAGCAAACTTAAGCTCCCAAGCATCCGATGGTGTGGCTTTGTGTTTCTTTTGTGGCGGTTCCGGTGATGCTGATGATGGTAAGCCCACCAAGTATTCCAGGACCTGCGCAGTAGCATGGGCACTAGTTGGGGCTTAAAGCTTTCAGGCATCGTGAGCTGCCTTGGCGATCCTTAAACAGGCACTTATGACCCTAGACCCTAAACCCTAAACCCCTAAACCCTAAACCCTAAACCCTAAACCCCTAAACCCTAAATCCTAAACCCTAAACCGTAAACCCTTTTGGCGAGCCTTAAACAGGCACTTATGACCCCAAGTCCCGAACCCTTGAAGCGCGCCTGTCAGCACCACCCGAGAATCTCCCGTGGGAGCGGGTTTGGGGTTTAGGGTTTCGGGTTTGGGGTTTAGGATTTCGGGCTGAGGGTTTAGGGTTTAGGGTTTAATGGGCTCATAGGGCTCATGGCTTATCGGGTTCAGGATTTCGGGTTGAGGGTTTGGGGTTTCGGGTTTCGGGAAGTCTGAAGCGCTGAACCCCCTCGGAGGACTCGGCGAAAGCACGAGCTTCACAACACCCGAACCGAAGCCTGTCCCTGTGGTTTAGGGTTTAGGGTTTAGAGTAGTCAAACCCCAAAAGCATGATGGAACAACACCATATGAAACCATGAGGCAGCCCCTGCCTAAAGGCGGAGAAGGCCTCATAATTAGATTTTTAGTAGGGTTGTGAACACGCTGCCCGAAATTCAGACAATGTAGGGGCCTTAATAAATAGGGTTTTGGGGGCTCCTTATGATAATTATAGTATCATATACCCCCAAACCCTGTTCTAATTATTGAAGCCTCTATATATTACTTCTGACGCATGATAACCTACCGTCGCAGTCCCCTGATCTTACCTATAAGACCTGAGAAGGCCCGACTAAACACCAAGAACCACCTACAAGCCTCATAGACTCCTCGTCAAAACATCCATAAACCCAACTCTTTAACCCTAAACTCCTCCGGTTAGCTCCTACACTCCTGAACCCCAGACCCTAAACTCCCAAAGTCCTACACTCCTAAACCTTCAACTCCCATCTTTTTCAGCAACTGCCTCCACGCTCCCCGGGCTGCCCGCTAAAACCACCAGATCATCGCCATCATCGAGGTTGGCGAAGTCCTTTCGGGCTCGGGGGTAGGATTCAAGGTGACAGGTTTATGGCTTCGGTCTTAGGGGCTTAGTTAGGACAGTTAGGGTTTTATGAGCTTAGGAAGGGACTATAGGGTCTTGCAGGGGTCGGTGTAGGGCTAGCGTGAAGCTAGTGTAGATCCCTGGAAGAAGAACATAAGGGTTTTTGGGGTGGCATATTGATTATTACTGCTTTAGGGTTGGATTGAAAGTTCAGGAAAATATCGGGGCCTTAATAATTAGAATAGGGTTTTGGGGTATACTATACTAGAATCATAATCATAAGGAGCCCCCCCCCAAAATAGTCGAGCTAGTTATTTAGGCCCCTATATCACATTTGGGGATCTTTGTTTCGGGGTCCTCCGGCACGGACCCGTGGTGGATCTTCCTGAAGACACCCTGCGACACCAACTCCTGCTGTGTTAGGGTGTGTTTAGGGCTTAGGGTTTAGGGTCGGCTACTTTGGGTGCGTTGCCATGAGACTGCGGCTATTTTCAGTAGGCAGACGACTGTGGTAAGCTAGAACTTACTTTCTTCAGCTCTCTATATCAGGACATCATCCGGTAAACTCGAAGCAGAAGTTGAACGCCAGTGATCCGGGCGGGGTTTAGGGTTTGGGGTTGGCCGATTAGGGCTCAGGAACCCTCGACTAAACCCTTGCGTGAACAGAGCATGCTGATCAGGGACTGAGTGGCTCGAGGCAAGTTAGGGGCTGCTCAACGAAACAAGTCCGGTTACCTTCATCCGCGGCGCTCTCAGCCGCTATCACAACGCCTAAAACACCTTACACCCGAAACCTGGCATAAACCCCTGAACCCTAAACCCCAGTATCAACCCGCAAACCCTAAACCCTAGTATCAGCCCCCCAAGCCCTATTGGAGACCCTAGATCGAATATAAGCCCTTTTGACCCGGACCGCCTCTAGAAAAGGGCCGATGACTTCACGAGGAGCATTCGCCCCTCCGGCGCCTTTCGCTGAGAGGTCCGCCGGGGGCATCACCGCGCAAAGGGCGAAGGGCATGGCTGCTGTGGGTTTCGGGCTTTGGGGCCCTAAACCCTGAACCCTGCTAGGCCTTTAGGATTCTGTGCTTTATGGGTTAGGGTTGACGGTTGAGTGTTTGTTTGTGCAGCTTGGGAGAGTTTAGGCTTCACGGGTTGCCTTGAGGACTGGGTTTTAGGGTTTAGGGTTTGGGGTCTCGGGTGAGTGACGTCTGGGGTTTGACTAGTTGGATTCAAGCGGGTTTTCGGGCCTATCTGCAGGACCGGGTGCTTTGGGAGCGGCCCCGCATCATCTCTGTCTGTCTCAGCGTATGCATGTATACCTAGAGGCTTCTGGTCGACGCAGGTTGGTTCAGTATATGCATATGCCCTCACGGCCTCAAGGCCAAAAAGCCTTAAAAGCGAGACTGCCAGCCAAAACTTAACCGTGAAACCCTCCACCCAAAGCCCTGAAACCCGAAACCCTTAGGCCTACCAGCACCTCGGGATATGAAACAAAAAGAGCTTCCCGGACGAAGCGCGAATCATGTGCCTGAAAGACTGAGAGTGGGTTTATGGTTATGGGGTTTTAGGAAGAGGGAGCGAGGGAGAGAGAGAAAGAGAGAGAGCGAGGCGATCTGCGCAACCGTCTAAGATTAGGGTGCATGCATTTGGGTCTTTAGCTCAGAAAACGAGGAACACTCACCGACTCGAACCATCCTAAACCCTAAACCCTAAACCCTAAACCCTAAACCCTAAACCCTAAACCCTACAAGCCCTATAAGCCCTATAAGCCCTAAACCCTAAACCCTGAACCCTAACCCTTATAAGCCCTAAACCACGACCCGCAGAAGAAATGCCAGCTGCGTCTCCTGCGGAGTCAACGATATGGGCCTCACGACACGACCTACGACCTAAGCGCGGTTTAGGGTTTAGGGTTTAGGGTTCAGGGTTTAGGGTTTAGGGTTCAGGGTTCAGGGTTCAGGGTTTAGGGTTTAGGGTTTAGGGGGAAACCGCAAACCCTGAAGAAGACCGGATGTAGGGGCCTCATAATCCGAATAGGGTTTGGGGTGACACTATGCTAGACTGGGTTGTAGTTTTGGGGCCCTGAACAGTATTTATGAATAGGTACCTGTACAGAAACCATAAGGGAAATTTTAAAGTTTCCCAAATTGCCACCTAGTAGATAACGATCATCAGGAACCCCCAATAAATAGTACTGGTAATTCTTTAGGCCTTAAGCCCTAAACCCTCAAGG